GAATCGTAATTTTCAACACATGTCAGATTTTTTATATATATAAAAGTGATCAATGTTTTCACACTATTATGAGCCATATCTAACTTTTTAATAGTATAAGATACTTTTCTTAACTTCTTTGTATCTAGCTATATAAGATTGAGCAAACGAATAGCAGTCCTCACAAATTTGTTTTCTTAAGATATCAAATCGGAGATTGCAAAAGAAATCAACAATGATGATGTCCGATCTACCAAATGATTTGGTAGAAGAAATTCTTTTTAAAATTCCGGCTCTGAGTTCGATACGAGTACGATCTACTTGCAAACAATGGAATGCTTTATTCAATGATAAGAAATTCATCCAACAACATCTTAGTAAAACATCAAAGCAAAATATGGTTGTACTGGCGAAGGATTCCAGGGTTTATTCAATGGTTGTCAATCTTAATGGAATTGGCAACAACTTTGCTGGTGCATCGATAATGCTCTCACGGAAACGTAGTCTAATCGATTCCCCTTATAATTCAGAAGTTGATATCTCTGATATATATCATTGCGATGGTTTATTGTTATGCACCACAAAGAACAATAGATCTGTTGTTTGGAACCCATGTACGGGGAAAACCAAGTGGTTCGAACCAAATGAATGAAAAATATCCTGATGACGGTAGAGTATTTCTAAGGTATGCTTTCGGATTCGAAAACTATACAACTTCTCGTAACTACAAATTCGCTAAGGTTTTTTTATGGTGGCCACATATTAAAGGTGGAAATCTATGACCTTAACTCTAATTTGTGGAGGGTTCATGATTTCACTCATGTTTTGCTTATATTGTCTCGTGGTGTGTCTTTCAAAGGAAATGCTTATTGGATTGGTAGAAAGGAAATTACACTAAATAATGAGTTAATAAGTTTTGATTTCACAACAGAGACATTTGGGTTTTTGTGTCTACCAGTTCAAAATGATGGTAAACAGATGGGACTATCTGTTGTGAAAGATGAACAACTTTCGTTGGTCGTATTTAGTAACATGCATATACTTCAGATAATGATATGGATGACAAATGAAATTAAACCAAACTTTGTATCATGGAGTAAGTTCTTCACATCGGGTATTATAGAATTATCATATAGTCTATATTCTGTACGTAGTTCTTCGAGTCCTATGAAATTTGTAATCGATAAGGAGAAGAAAGTCGTTATGTTTCGTAGTCAAGGACGTAAAGAGGACAAATGGTGGAAAGACATATTACACATTGTTGGAGAGGATGGTTTACAAAGAAGAAGATCTCGAACTCGAATATTCAAAATCTTGGCCAATTATGTTCACTTATGTTCCAAGTTTGGCTCAAATATAACATTTTATTGGAGGGGGAAAAAAAAAAAGCCGAGATTAATTAGTTCATCAAAATAAGGATACTGTAATCC